GGCAGGGGAGGGGAGGATCGCCTGAGGAGGCAGGGGAGGGGAGAAGTAGCATCTGTGCTGCCACCTTTATGAACTGGGATGAACTGGCCCGTGCCCATCTCTACTGGAAACCATCTTGGAGGGATAGTGCTTATCTTACCTTGGTGATGCTAAGTGCTTTAAACCTATTCTTTCAATTAATCGACTTGATTGGGTTCCTACTTGCTTGCTTTCATATGCCTCTTTCCCCCTCTGCTTTTGGCATGGGCTGCTATTTCAGTCATTCATTATCTCTCTCCTCTCTGTTCTCACCTTGAGTGGTCTCCTTATTGCCCACTAACCTCCTCTATAAAGAAGCGAAGCCGTACAAGGCAGCAGCTGAGTATAGATCACCAATGTAACCCACATCTCCTCTTCCTCCAAAAGCTCAAGCTGTATTCTGCCCATAACAAGCCTTTCTCTTTCCCAGTGAATGCAATGAATTGCATCTTCTGTCATCACTCATCAGATGAATGACATTCTGCCCTTGTTCTCAAAGATATAATAATAATAATAATTGTGCGCTGTCAAGTAAATTCTGGCTTATGGCAACCCTTTTCAGGGTTTTCTAGGTAGAGATTACTCAAAGTGGTTTACCCTTCCCTTCCTCTAGGGGCACTGTGGGACAGTGCAGCTTGCCCAAGGCCACACAGGCTGGTTCTTCTGGAAGGCACATCTGGGTATTGAACTCCCAACATCTGGCTGTACAGCCAGATACCTAACTCATTGAAACTATCCTGCCATCTATTTCTCAAAGATATAGCCAGTGAAAAAAGGTCAAAGGGCTGCTTCTAGAAGGTTTCACAAGTTTATTTATTTATTTATTTATAAAATTTATACCCCACCCCTCTAGACCATGTCTACAAGTGATGATTTCACCTTTTAAAGAGGTTGCAGGTTCTCCCCTGTTAAGCACCAAATGTTTTACCCATTTTTCAAAACTGGAAGTGGACTTCTGGTTACTACTGGTTTCATTCTTCTCCCTTCCCTTCCCTTCCCCCCCCAAATGGTATTCCACATGGACCCCAGAGGGTGCCGGAAACAGACCTTAACCTGTGGATTCACCTCTGTTGCCCACCCCGGCTTTAAAAGGCCAAGCATTCACTACATTCCATATGTCGAATCAGAGTATTAGGCTCCCAAATACTTGATGCTACTGTAGCCACAGGAGAGTAGATTGTTGGGCATCAGTCAGAATGTTTGTCTATGTTGCTCAGGTATTCTGTGCTCTAGTGGACAGTGGCTCACAGATTCAGAGAGAATTTGTTTCATGTTCTTGTAAGGGGTTGGACCTGGGGACTCTTTTATGCACAGAAAATGCTCTGTCGTTGACCCACATCCCTTTGTACCACACAAAGGGATGTGGCTAATGGCGATGTTTGATGCTGGTAGATACCATCAGCACCCCTTCTATTTCCTGTAAATGATTGCAGGGCTTTATATGCTAATGTGGGGCTAGTAAGAGAGCGAAGAAGTACTGTCTTCATGGTATTATTCATAAATACACATCTCCATTATAATGAAAGGGCATAGTCAAAGGGCATTTCTAAGACAAACACAGCGTCCTCTGAAATGATTTATTTGAAAGTACACAGGGAGTTGGTTGAGCACGAGGCAACAGATTATGAAGGAGAATGTACTCTGTATGTCACCACCCTGTCAGGCATACTGAGAAACTGCTAACAGATTAAGTGGCAGAAGGGCTCCAATGTGGAACTATTTTAATATTTTGCTCACAGTGCCTGCGTACATAGTTATGATTACTTTTTCAAAACTTATCTCAATTTCTAAGAGGAAGAGGAAGCTTGGGGCCCCTTTTCATAGAACCATAGAAGAGTATTAATGGAAGGGACTCCAAGGGCCATCATGTTTAGCTCTCCTTGAGTGCAGGAAAACCTACAGCTAAAACAACCCTGACTGGTGGCCATTCAACCCCTGCTTTAAAAACTCTAGAGAAGAAGAGTCCGCCACTCTCCGAGGCACTCAGTTTCACTAAGTGGCTCTTCCTGTTAGGAAGTTCTTCCTAATGTTGAGTCGTAATCTTCTTTCTTGTAACTTGAGTCCATTCCTTCCGGTTCTGTCCTCTTGAGCTGCAACCAGAACAAACCACTCCAGGCCTGCTTCATTCTTCACGTGAAGATGAGAGTTAGAAAATGCTTCAAAGGGAATCTAACCACTTTCTTCCACAAGAAACCCACCTTTTCAGCATCCCTAGTTGCTGTTCTTGTTACATGTTGTCAAGCAGTTTCCAATTTATCATGACTGTATGAAAGATGGGCCTCCAGAGTGACCTATTGTCAACAGCCCTGATCAACTGTACCTTCTTTTATTGAGTCTTGCTGTTTCTTAGAGCTGTTGTATACCTTGGTTCAGATATCAATCCAAATGGACACTACAGCTGAGAAATTATGAGACTGAGACTGGGAAGGGCAGCAAGGAAGTAATTAGGAAAGATCATCAGGTGAAAAGATGTATCACTGAAGACCAAGATCATCCACACAATTGTATTTCTGATCACCATGTATGGGTGTGAAAGCTAGACATTTAAGAAAACTGATAGGGGAAAATATGATTCATTTATATAGGTGTGAAAGCTAGACAGTTAAGAAAACTGATAGGGGGAAATATGATTCATTTGAATTGTGGGGCTGGAGGAGAGCTTTGTGGATACTCTGGGCTGCCAGAAAGATGAACAAGTAGGTCCTAGATCGAATCAAGCCTGACATATCTCAAGTGGCAAAAATGTTGAAACCGAGACTGTCCTGTTTTGGGCACATCAAGAGAATGCAGGATTCTCTCGAAAAAGGTTGAAGGCAGCAGGAAAAGAGGAAGACCAAATATGAGATGGACTGATTCCTAAAGGGAACCGCAGGTTTGAGTTTACAAGAGCTGAGCAAGGCTGTTGAGGACAGGAAAGTATGGAGATTGTTTATTCATAGGGCTGCTGTAAGTTGGAGGCAATTTGATGGCATGTAACAACCACCACCTCTTCTTTGACCTTCCTCCTTTCCTGTTGCCTTCAGTTTTCCTCAGCTTTATTGTATCCAGTCTTAATGATGGAGAATCTGTGGATTTCAATTTGTTTCAGTGCCAGCCAGATGGTACTGCCAGGAAAAACTTCCAAATGGCATAGTTCAAATTATTATTATTATATTGCACATCCTTTTCCTCAGCATTACGGGTGCAGGGGGCAGACAAAAGGGGCAAGCAAGCAAGCAATAAATAAACAAACAAATAACATTAGGAGTCAAGTCCTAGAAACACGTTGGGGAGACAACATGTTTTCAAAAATCAGTCATTTTTGAATTTCAGGAAGCAAGCTAGCAGCAATTGGCTTAAACTGGTAACCAAAGATTTTGGAATGATTCCTGTTGCTGAAATTAATGTGAGGAGAAGGATGGCCTGATCTTGCTTTCATATTATTTTAACTTCTGGCCTTAATGTTTGTTACTTTGATTTTTTTTTGTGACTTCCTATACTTTTAGGTTACTTGTTGATGCAGCTCCAGCTTCTATAATGGATGATCTTCTTTGCTTTGTTGCTTACCCAGAAGTACAATATTTGGCTTACTAAGGTCAACTGCGTTATCTGCGATAATGTGCTTGTCCCAGTCCAACATTGCAGTTTCATTTTCTAAAACTGGAGGTGGCTGGAATTTCTAATGTGAACAAAAGGACACGAATAATCCATAGGATTTAGCTGACTGCTGAAAAAGGATCTTTGCAACTTGGTTATGCCTGCACATATAGTCCATTTATGGCATCCATCTATGACACGATGATTTTTTTTAAAAAAATAATGACATGCCCTACATGTATCACTCGTCATGCTGCTCCTTCCTTGTTACTTCGAGTCCTGGAGATTTCTTCCCTTTCATCCACATGACAGTCCTTCATTTGTTTGAAGATGGCTATCATAAACATAGTAATCTCTTCTCCAGGCCAAACATCTACAACACCCTCAGTCTTTCTCCAGAAGATTGAGTTCCTGAGCCTTTTGCTGCTCGTGTCAGATTTGCGTCCATTTATTATTATCATTTTGCACAGACATTGCCCTGCTCGTCCAATGTTGAGTACAGAGTGGCATAGCTAGCATAAGATGGCAATAGATCATTTTGACAGATAGACAAATAAAATGAGCCTTTGACATTGTGGGTGATATTGTTGGGATCCATAAGGGTGCTGTCAGCATAGCTGTGGGGACAGAGTTGGCATGTCATTTTCTACCAGGGCCTTGCTTCTGTCTCTCCGTCTATGTTGTGCCGTCTGTTCCGGATCAACAGTGGTTTAAGAAGGCTTGGAAGGGAAACATAGAGGATTCCACACAATTCTAGCACCATCCATCGGGTGAACAGGGATTTCATCAGGAGTTAAGGTGATAAAAGATGCCCCAGGTCATACAAAAGTGGGACAGAAGTGTTTGGGAGAAAGGGAGCTTTGCTTCTTCTCTATATCCGTGTGCACCTGTTTAACCAAACCCCAGCCTCTTTCCATGCCTGTTGCACATCCAGAATGTCTTCTTGGGCTCTCTCCTCCTTTTGCAAGCAACATCTAGCAGGCATGGAACGATGCACCCTACAATTGCAAAGCTGGTAGCGGTGTCGGGGGAGGGGGGTCAAGGTGGGGGTGAATTAACCCTTCCTCATCCATGCACAGTCGCTGGACGTCTTGTTGTCCCTGTGTTAGGATTGGCAATCCTGACACGGCAGCCGGCTTGATCTGCTAACCTACTGAGCAATTAACACCCCCACCCACGCCCGCGGCCTCCCTTGAGCCTGGGGTCCCGCCCCCCCACCCCACCGCTTGCCGCAGGCGCTGTCCAACGTGCTGAAAGCGTGCCCGGGGGGGTCCTGCTGCGGGAGGCTCTTGCTCGGCGCTGTCCAGGGTGCTGAAAGGCAGCGCGCTCCGTCTTCTCTCTCTGTCTCTCTCTCTTCCCCCCTCCTCCTTCTTTCCTTTCACTCCGTTCTCCGCCAGCAGCAGTGACGTAGGCGAACGTGCAAGCGGTTCAGCCCCGGTGTCCCTGACACGCCAGCTTCTCCAGGGGCCAGAAACTGAGGCGGAGGAGGCGGAGGTGCAGACGGAGACGAAGGAGCCAGCCCTCTTCTCGGAGGCTCTGTTTGTCTGTCTTGGGGTGTGAGCGCATGGATGTTTGTCTGTCCCCTCATCTCCCCCACCCTCCTCCTCCTCCTCCTCCTCTGTGTGTGTGTGTCACCAAAGCAGCCCTGGGAGAAGGAGACCTCGCTTCTCCCGCCGCCGCCGCCGCCGCCGGTCCACCGCCTTCCCGCCTGCCAGATCCAAATCCATGAGGTACTGTGGCAATGTGTGCCGTCTGGAGCAAAGGGTTACGGCCATCCTAAATTGCCCCCGTCGATTATGGGCTGTATT